TCTTAATCTCCTGGCAGCTTTCCAAACAAGTTGTCCTGCCTTCCTCTTGAAATGCTTTCCTCTACAAGCCATTCTCCCCCCTCCTTCCCTCTATTCCTGTCTTCCTTTCTCTCTCCTCTGCCTGTCTTTCAATGGCTGGGGTTGAGGTGAGGGATTGTTCATTGCGCAGCTGCTCCTTGTCCTCTCCTTTCCATCTCCCCTTCCACTCTCCATTCCCAAGGTTACAAACATCTGCACCCTGGAAAGGCTCAGTGTCTACCTCCATGCTACTTCATCCCTGAGGACCAGACTCGTGTCCACTGGCTATGATGTCTTCATTCAAATGGTTCCCTGAAGCCCACAGTAGACATGAACCAAACAGAGCTCAAAATTTCACCTCCTGTCTCCCTTAGAGGATCATTTGCCCCCAAATATCCCCTTCTTATGTTCATTCGCCCAAACACTCATGCCAGATCTTGAGAGTTAGCCTTGATTTTCTTCCTGCTCCTTCCTTAATGTCTCTCTCAAATCTATCGGCAAGACTCATGGATTCTGCATTCAAAATGTAGCTGGAATTCACCCATTTCTCTTCTACTACCCCAAATCAAGTCATCATTACCACTTGCTTTCAAACTCCTTTCCTCCTTTCTAGTCCTTCCTCAACATCCATCGAGCACACAGCAGCCCGAGTGATCTTTGCGAAATGCCGCTAGCATCTTGCCACCATGTCACCCTCCTACTCACAGTGCTTAGGGGTTCTGTTTTGCACTCAGTCTAAAGTCCACACCTTTTAACAAGGACTGTCTTGGTATCTTTCCTTTACTATCACAAGTAGCTGAGATGAGCCAACTTAAAAAGAGGAAAGGTTTATTTTGGCTCACTGCTTTGGAGGTTTCAGTCCATGGTCAGTTGGCCTGTTGCTTTTGGGTACGTCATGAGGCAGCACATCATGGTGTTGACATGTGCTCACCTTGTGACTGGGATGAAAGAGAAAGAAGAGCCCTGGGTCTCACAATCCCTCAAAAGCACACCCTCAGTGACCCCCAAACTTCCCACTATGCTCCACCTTTTAAGATTTTTCCCATTTCCCAATATTGCCAAAGGCGGGTGACCGGACCTTTGCACATGGACCTTTGGGGTATCTAAACCACAACAGACACCAAGTCTGTGTCATCTTGTCTGTGTCTCCTCCCTGACTCACTGCATGTTTCCCTTCCCCTTGGGAATAGAGGCAGGAGATTAGTCAATGCATTCAAGATGATGTCTCTAAAGAGTTGGGGACACAGGTCTAATTTTCACAAAGCATAAACATCCACATGCCAAACAGTAGCTGTTTAGGTGCAACCCCCAAGTGATATGTAGAAAGAGACACTGGGAGGGCAGTCCAGGGACTCACATAGCACAGATAGAATGGAAGGCACCATGATTCTACCGTTTTCCAATGCACACTCAGTTCTTGGCACAGTTCTTTACATACAATACGACCAATAACAACTGTTAATAATAACAAATTATTGAACAAGCAAATGACACAGTGCAGGAGTGCAATTCCTGCTCAGGCTTATTGGGACAGGCTAACAAGCACACAAACATTTGGTGGTATGATATCTGATTGCAGAGAACATTCTGAGTACTCTAAAAGTTACATGGAATGGTCAGCTCTGCTTGGGGAGGAATCAGGGAAGACTTCAGATGAGGAGGTAACACTTGGCAGCAACTGGAAGGATAACTGGGCATGAGTAGGAGTCAGGCATCCCAGGTTGAAGACGCTGCAGTGCAGGGGAATAAAAGTAGACTTGTTCCTAGCGGGGATCACCAGAGCCCCAGACCAGACAGTGTATGATCCATGGTCAAACTATGTGTCATAGATCACAGGACTTCAAAGGGGAGAGGCTGGTGGTGACTGGCAGGAATGGATGGAAGAAATGCTGCCTGGATTGGGTTATGAAGGCAATTCAGGACAGATCTGAGTCTTAACTGGGCCTTGAAATGTAAAGCCAAACAGAAGACAATATGCTAATGAAGCTTGTAATTAATATTGATAAGAAGACAGTCATCCATGATGCAGACCACTCAGGAGGAGCAGAAGCCAGGGGGATGAGAAGGAGAGTGTCAGACACTCCAGGGCCCCTCATCTGGCCCTGTTCCTGGAAGGGAGGGTAGGGTCAGGGCCAGGGCCTCAGGACTCCGGGCTTGCTGGGCGGAGCCTGCTTGCATGGCCTGCTAGCTGGCTGGTGCTGCACCTGCCACCTGGTGGAGGAAGCTGTTTTCACTGCAAGCCTAAGGGGTTCCTAGCAATGCTCATCCCAGGAAAGGCTGCTCTGCCTGTGGTCTGTGAAGGTGAACATCTTAATCTCCATTATCTGTCCATTTTTGCTTCTTCCCTTTCCAGCCCTTGCAAGGCCCAAACCACTGCAACTTCGGGACCGTGGTCTGCAGGGCTTGGAAGATAAACTGCATGAATGCCTGCCTGGACAATGTTCCTCCAGGTGGAACTTGTGGCTGGGGATAGCTAAGCAATCTTGGCAGAGGACAGAAAGCCAGAGCAACACAGGCAGGTGGTGGAGGTGGTTAGGGGTGAGGGGCGCGGACAGGGCAGCCACCTTCTGTAGTTTGGAGGAGGATATAGTATGTGAATGATATTTAAATCTTTCACTTTTTAGCCATAAGTCCCTCTGTGTCACCCTACTTATTGTTCATATGACTCATCTTAGCAGTCATAAACATGACAGTGAAGATATAAGGCATCAATTGTTGACTGTAACAGCTAACTTTCTTTTAGGCCAGCTATTGTTCTGAATTAATTAACTCATTTACTCCTCCAAGTAACTCTGAGGTATGTACTTTTCTCATCCCCATTCTACACACTAGGAGACAGGTTCAGAGAGGTGAAGCAGATTGCTCAAGATCACACAGGATGTTTTAGAGCCAGGATCTGGAAGCAGTGTGGTTCCTGTAGCACCTGTTGTAGGGATGGACCTGGAGCAGGGAGGAGAGGGCTCTCAAGACCCAGGAAAGAGCTGCACTGTGCCCAGTTCTGAGAACCCCTGGTCTGGATGGAGAAAGATTCTAGCTCTGTCATATAAGTAGAAGCCACTGGGCAAGTGCCTTATACCTTTGTTTTTCATCTGTATGATGGGAGGATAGTCACTGATGCACAGGACTATTTCCAGGAATAAATGCAAGAGCACATGCAAAGTGTCTGATGCTTAGTAGGTGTCCAGTATATTGAATATCTTCACTTTCTCTCCTGGGTAAAGTTGGCTTCAGACAGGGCTCTGTTGTTCTTTCCAGGAGGATTACTGAGGGCCTGCCAACTGAGGAGGGGTGGGAAATGACCAGAGTGACAAAAACGGATTAACTAACCTGCAAAAGCACAGCTCCTGATAAACGCAATAGGAGCGTTTATGGTTGTTCTAGAGATGCAGAATCAGAGCTGGGGGGTTTTCATTCCTCCCGTCTCTGCTTTTTTCTTTCAGTGCTCAGGATGGAACCCAGGGCCTCCAGCTCTGCAGGCTTTTCGTATCTGATCCTGAGGTCTTCCCAACATGGGATGTGGAGGTGGGTGATCCTTCCTTTCCTCAGCCTCTGCTGCTGCACTGGAGATGGGTAGACAATTCTCTGATCTGGAGTCACAGCATCTTCAAGACTTGGGCTAAGAATGGCTTGAGGGGTCTTCCCCGCCCCCCCTTAAATAACAAAGCCCACCAACGGAGTAGGGAACTGGGTTTCTTCCATGGAATGTGTCCTACATCTGTCTGGGAGCGGTGGAGCTAATTGCCCCCAATCACCACCAAGTGCTGGTGTCAAACAATTGAGTTTCCAAAAGAGCTTTATACAGAGGACAAACTCAGCTATTTTCTGGTGAAAGAAAGTTCTGAGGCTAACAGGTTCTGGTACTAGGGGCTTTGGGCTTTTTAAAAGAGTCTTTCCAAGAGGTGGGCGGGGGTGGGGGGGGCTCCTCTGTTGAGACATACTTAACAGTTTGGAGTCCTTGGTTTACTAAATAGTGTCCAGGAGCAAGATTTGTTTAGTTCTGAAGTAACTCCGGAGGTCCTTCCTTCGGGGTCTGAGGCTTTAAGCTGTCCGGAACTTGTAGGGTTGAGGTCTGGTCCTGTTTAGGCAATGGGTGGGGGTGGATTTGGTGACCCCCGAAGGACCTTGCTGACGCCAGGATTCTGAGCCCCTTCGTGGCTCTGTGGGGTGCCTGTGTGCGCCCCGCGAATGCGCGCGAGGGTGTTCGTGCGTGCTGGTCGGTGGGAGGCGCGTGTGACCCACGGGTTGGTGTGTCTGTGTGCCCGGGTTGGGGGCTGCGCCCACTTGTGGCTCCCTTGCGCCGCCAGGAGGAACAGCGCCTTTGCCGCTTCTACTGAGGACGCCTCCCGATAGGAGGAGGACCCGAGGCTGATGACATGAGGGCGCCGTCTCCCGAGTGATGGCAGCGCGCGCTGCCTCGCCGCCTCCGCCGCTCAGCCCCGGACTCCTTACGTCAGGGTAGCTGGGTCCCCCCTCCGCGCGGGAGCCAGCCAGCTGCGGGAGAGCAGAGCAGAGTGCGCCGCGGAGCCGGGGCGCCTCACTGCGCGCGGTGCCCGCCGCCGAGCCCCGCGGAGCCCAGTCCGGCAGGAGGCAGCGTCAAGGAGCCACCGCCGGACGCCGCAAGTGGACCCAGCACTCCTCGGCTGCCGCCACCCAGACCTGTGGGGCGCCGGGCTCGTCCTGCGCGCTTCCCCGCCATGCGTGCCGGGCTCCACGGCTCTCCCGAGCAGCCCCAGTGTGGTGGGCACGGGAGTCCAGGCAGGGACGCCTCTTGCTGAAGTAGTTGGGTGGCCAGGGTAGGGGTCGCCACGTCGGGGACGCGGCCGGGACCCGCGGAGTTGGCCCCTGAGCGCGGGGAGCGGGGCCACCCGCGCCGCACCACCATTACTTCCCCGGGTGGCAAGGAGGAGCTGGTGGCGGTCGCCTCCCGGCTGTGGCAGCGGCGGCGCCGCGCCTGCCTGGCGGCCGTCGGCGTACTCCTGGCCATGGCCCTCGGGCTGCTCATCGCAGTGCCCCTGCTGCTGCAGGCGGCGCCCCCCGGCGCGGCGCACTACGAGATGATGGGCACCTGCCGCATGATCTGCGACCCGTATAGCGCCGCGCCAGGAGGGGGCCCCGCGGGCGCCAAGGCGCCACCGCCCGGACCCAGCACGGCTGCCCTGGAAGTCATGCAAGACCTCAGCGCTAATCCTCCCCCTCCCTTTATCCAGGGACCTAAGGGCGACCCGGGGAGACCCGGCAAGCCAGGGCCGCGGGGTCCCCCTGGAGAGCCAGGCCCGCCTGGACCCAGGGGCCCCCCGGGGGAAAAGGGCGACTCGGGGAGGCCGGGGCTGCCCGGGCTGCAGTTGACCACAAGCGCGGCCGGCGGCGTCGGAGTGGTGGGCGGCGGAGCCGGGGGTGGGGGCGACTCCGAGGGCGAAGTGACCAGCGCGCTGAGCGCCACCTTCAGCGGTCCCAAGATCGCCTTTTATGTCGGACTTAAGAGCCCTCACGAAGGTTATGAGGTGCTCAAGTTCGACGACGTGGTCACCAATCTCGGCAATCACTACGACCCCACCACCGGCAAGTTCAGCTGCCAGGTGCGCGGCATCTACTTCTTTACCTACCACATCCTGATGCGCGGCGGTGACGGCACAAGCATGTGGGCGGACCTCTGCAAGAACGGGCAGGTCAGTGATCCCCAACCCCACAGGGCCCCGCAGGCTCCCATAGACCCTTGGCCGAGCCAAGAACCGTTTCGGAACGAGCTCCCATTGTCCCCATCCGGGAGCGGTCGAACAAGCCCCGGGAAGGAGTGCGCCGCGGTGCCACGCTTCCCAGCGAGCAGCGCTTACTGCAACGTGGGGCCTGAGGTTGGGCCCCAGGAGCCCAAAGACCCTACCACCCAAACTGCGCTCTCGGGTAACTTGGGTCCTGGCCTGCAGCCAAACAAACCTCACTTTTCTTTAGTTCCCCGGTTGCACTTGGGTCGCCCCTTGCCCTCCAGTCCCCTTTCCCCTTAGTCCTGGCCCTTGGTTTCCATCCTTCCACACTGGGTCAATGTCCACGAAGCTCCCTGTCTTCCTCCTTCCTTGACTCGCCAGCTGTGGAGAGGAGAGGACCGGGAAAGAGTTGGCCAAGTTGGAGAGAGAGCTTGTAGCTGGGGAGGGAGTGTCAGCTATAAAATCTCAGGCAGACGTTTGGTTAGGGGACGCGCCATGTCGGGGCCGAGCAAAACCTCAGGAAGAAGTGCCCAGGCTCACCCGCTCCCCTGGTTCGCCCCCAGGTCCGAGCCAGCGCCATCGCGCAGGACGCGGACCAGAACTACGACTATGCTAGTAACAGCGTGGTGCTGCACCTGGATTCAGGAGACGAGGTGTACGTGAAGCTGGACGGCGGAAAAGCGCACGGAGGCAATAACAACAAGTACAGCACATTCTCGGGTTTTCTTCTGTACCCGGATTAGGGGCGCAGAGGGCGCGAGCCCCAGTGGCTTCAGGCCACCCTATCCCCACGAGGGGCGCGCAGCTCTTTGGCGAGGGGCGCGCAGCTCTTTCGCTTCATGACACTTCCTGACATCTCTGTTGGAAAAGACACATCCCTGCTGTCCTTGTCCCGCTCCAGGCCTCTGTGACTCACCAAGTTGCAGATTGAGCCCCTGGTCCCTGCGCCCAACATGGGGAAGGAGAGGGGACGCCTAAGTGGCGAGCTGAGTAGGAACCGAGCCCTTCAGGCAAGACTTTGCAAACATGATTGGACTGGACAGGCCATGCCATGCAGGAGACTGCCCTCTCCCGACCTCCTCCTCCCAGTGCTCCAGGCCAAGGGCTCCAGGCCAAGGGCTCCAGGCCCTGTGAGGGAACTAGGCCCACTGTGAGCGGCTCCCTGGGACCTCCCTTTTTGTGACCCGGAATACTTGTGCCAGATTTTCCTGTCCATCAGCCAAAACCCACCCCTAGCAGAATTCCAGCAAACAAAAGTCACCTTTCCACACACACCACACTCCCTCCTGATTCAGACCCACTGCGATGCATTAAATTATGTTTTTAGACTATGGGCTCCCTTGTTGTCTTTGTCACTGTGGCCCCTGGACTGGGGCTTCAGATATCCTCCTTGGCATAAAGACCAGAACAGTGCATCTATGCACTGCTTTCTAGCTGCTGTCCTGTCCCCTCCACCTGGGATGGGGGGAAAGATGTGGGGACACAGGGAGCACCTCCCACCCTTTCCCAAAGGTTCTTCCTAAGGGGAGGGGCTGTAGGGGGAGGAACGACTTTGAGGAAGGCAGAGATGAGTCCAGTTTCTGACAATTTGGACAACTTTGTCCTCCTGGACTTGGGGGAGGAGGTCAGAAGAGAGGACTGCTGTAAAATGAGGGATGAGTGAGGCAGCAGGACTCTAAGCTCCTGGGCTCTGAAAGGGAAGTGCAGAAGCCAGGTCAGAAGCCTCCAGGGGGAGGAGAAGAGACAGCATGTTCAGTTCTTGTCCATGTACTGGTGGCCAGGTCCACATCTCTCAAAGGAACTGGTAAACGGAGGCAGTTCTGTGGGTCATCTAGCTTCCTGAGTTCAATCAAAATTTGCTAAGGGAGGTAGACACTGTCTAGGAGAATTAGCCCTTTGCTGGGGTGTTTCCTTCAGGAGTCAGGGTGAGTTGGGGTGGGTTCCATATTTGTTTTTGTTATTAGAACACTGAATTCCAACAAAAAGTAAGTTCTCTATAAAATAGTCAGTTAGCAACCTGCTAGTACTTATGACCCTTTTTGTTTTGTTCTGCTTTTTTTGGACAGGGTCTTTCAATGTAGTCCAGATTGGCCTCAGCCTTCTGAGTGCTGGGTTTACACATATGCCCCACCATGCCAGGTCTCACTGAGCTTATTTTGACTAGTTGTTTGAAAAGAAATATGTCTGAGTGTGTGCAGAGGTAGTCCCGGAGTGTGTGTTTCTGTGTAAAACTGGATAGACATACATATCTCCAAGGTGGATATAATATTGTGGTTGATCTCACGTGACCCATGTTACTGAAGTAACACACGTGTTCATAGGTCCATGTCAGTGTGGTGTGTGAAATGTTCCTAACTGCATATCTGCCTCCGAATCACATTGTGCTGGACTTTACTTTCAGGAAGATGCTGAAAGCTGTGGTTCCCATTTAAAAGACAATTATACCCCCTGCCTTGAGTCCTTTTACTGTTCTTCCTTATGCTCTTATTTTATTTGAATAATGTGCCATCCACTTGAATATAAGCAGTGATTATGCCTGCTTTGAGGCCGGGGATAAAATGTACAAAGAGAGGCAAGGAAAAAATATACAAACTACCACCCTGCAGTTCTAGACCCAAACAGAACCCCAATACCCTGCCTCCCTTTACCCCCACTGACTGTGGGGCCTTAACTCAGCTGAGCCCACCTGCACCCAGGAACCGAGGAGGGCACAGTCAGTCCGTCTACAGTTCCATGCGTATCAGTTTCTGATGCCTTGCTGATTGTATCATCCAGAAATGAGATTAAAACCAAATGTCTGAGCCCCAAATGAAGTCTAATTGCTATGGCTCTGCAATCCCCAGAGGGGCCCTAATCCTTTTTGACTTATTCCTCCCTTTCCTCCGATGAGATGGAGCTTAGACACAAAAGCCCTCGGTTTAAATTTCAAAAATTAAAATTGACATGCAGCGGTGGCTTTCCTGAGAGCGGGAGGGATGTCTAAGGAGGTGCCCGAGCCTGGCTTCATCCTCTGCATTAAGAAGCAATTTGTACTTCTAACAAAACCCCCACCACTCCCCTTTGGTAGAAGGGCAGTGGAAATGCCTTGCTCTCACCTGGCTGTTCACAATACTTAGACAAATTTGAATCTGAGATTCCTCCATTTGTATTCCCTGGTGCAGCAGGGCTTCTTGCAATTCTAATTCCTGGGCTGCCAGGAGGTGTCAGAGGCTAAGAGGATGATGGATTGATGAGGCAGCGGGCAGGAGGCGCGGCTTGCAGGAGCAATGTAGGTATGCACACACACCCAACTGAGGCCTGGCATCGTGCCTCTGGAGGATTTCCTGAGCGGGGGACAAGCCAGAGTGGGGAGACCAGGCCCCCTACTGTTACTACCTTTGTGAAGCCATCAGTCTTGGGGTGAAAGTGGTGTGCACACTCTTACCATTATAATTATAAAGTTTGCTTTACTGTCCCAGCTGCTTTGGGCACTGTTTCTAGTTGTGCTCCTGGGTTGGGAGTCTCATGCTAGCACTACCCAATAAGAAGGAAAGACTTTATTCTGTCTGTTTGGGAGCTGGGGAAATTGGGGCTCAGAGATGTTCCTGACTTACCCAAGTTTACAAAACCAGGACTTGAACTTGGACCTCCAAGCTACTGTCCTGCCTGACTGCACATATGGGATGTCTCCACCTCCCAGAGTTCCCAGGCCTTTGAGAGGAGAGCAAGTGATGGGGTGGGGGGTGGGGGGTGAGGAAGGGGCACCCTTTTCACTGCTCTTCTGATATAGTAAGAGTCAGATGAGACGAGTCAACCCTGCCTCTTCATCCAGGCCACCCCAAATGGACCCAGACATAGGCTTCCCATCTTGGGCCAGGTGGCCGAACACCCTGGCAGTGGGTTCAGTGTTGATGGCTGCTGGAACCTTAGGCTAGTAACTCCAAATATTGCATGTTGACCTGTCAACCCCACCAACAATGTCCCTCTCACCACACTCTCCTGTGGCAGGTCTTCTTTTCTCACTTAGTGACATCCTACAGGTGCAAGAGTTTAGCTGAAGTGGGTGTTGACTGTCTCTGATCGGCAGGTCAATATCAGTGTGACTAATAAAACACACCTGGCCCCGGAATTTCGGATCGAGTTTATGCCTTTTGCTCCATTTCTCTACTAGCTGTGTGAGCAGATGGCTCTCTTGGGCACTCAAGACAAAAATCCAAGTCCCCCTGTGCACTGGACAATGATTATATCATAGAAGACCACATTGCACAGACTGGCTGCTCCAAACTTCCCTGATCATGCAGTCCAATTGGTTAAACATTTTTCAGTGCTCATATCTAATATATATATATTTGACATATGAATAATTGATGTATCCCATCGCCAGTCTATACTTTAAAATTTTTCCATCTTTTTGTGTTTATATTCATCTAAGGAGCTTCACATCAAGTCAGTGTCTGTATCCCTGCTGGCTGATCAAGTCTAGAAACAAGTCTCTACTCATTGGAACAGAAAGAAAACAGGGTTAATTAATGTGCTTCCTTGCAACTGGCCATTTTCTCAGTTTTAGGCATGAAAATAGGTTCTTTCATTTATTTATTCTTTTTTATTTTTGTGCTGGGGGTACATTGGGGCATTTACAAAAGTTCTTACAATATATCAGATATATTATACTTGAATTCATAGGTTCCTTTATGAATCACAAATAAACCTGCACACCTTAATCCCTGGGATGCACAATTTCATTTCATTTTTTTTTTCTGGTAGGACTGGGGTTTGAACTCAGGGCTTCACACTCGTAAAGCAGGTGCTCTACCACTTGAGCCACACCTGCAGTCCGTTTTGCTCTGGTTATTTTGGAGATAAGGTCTTGTGAACTATTTGCCTGGGCTGGTCTCAAACCATGATCATCCCAATCTCAGCCTCCCAAGTAGTTAGGATTCTCTCTCTCTCTCTCTCTCTCTCTCTCTCTCTCTCCCCTCTTGTTATGTAGTCCAGGCTGGCCTAGAACTCGAGATCCTCCTACCTTAGCCTCTTGAGTGCTGGGATTTCAGGTGTGCACCACTGGGTCTGGCATGTCTTACTGCCTTTTAAAATTAAGATAAACTTCCGCCAGGCCTGGGCTGTGGGAAGAAGGATCTTGAGATTGAGGCCACCCTGGTCTACACAGGGGACGGCTCAAGGACAATAACAGAAGAGTTCCAATACTTCCTTCTTACACCTGATTTTTGGAGACTCGGCTGTTGGGGTTGAATTGGGCAGGGCCAGACAGGGTAGGGTCTCTCTGAGTATCTGGGAGGATGCTCCTGGCAGATGGAAGTGAGGAATCCCAAGGAATGGCTTGGTGTCCTGTGCCTGCTATACTCTAATCACTTCAGTGACAGAAAGCATCCCCAAAGGATGGCGATCACAGCAGTAAGGGGAGTAAACAATAGAGCAGTAGTTTTAAAAGCAAGTTTTGCCACAATAATTTATAAAATACACACAGAAGAGTGTAAAGAGACCACATGTGCCGGTCATCTGGCATCCTCACTTACCACATCGTGGCTGGTCACGTAGAGCCACAGTGTTTGTCTAATTAACACTTTATGATGTGTCAGGAATTGGAGCTGGGACACAGGGGTGTACTTAAAGATGAGGAAACTGAGGTTCAGAGAGCACAATGACTTCCGTAAGATAAGAGCCAGGATTGACTAAGGTCTGTGTGACCCCAGAGCTCAAACTCTTTTGGGACTATGGTAGAGCAGGAGGTGAGACCTTAAAAAGA